GAATAGCTGTTTTTCCTTCATACCTTCCCATGCACAACACGCACACATCCAAGAAAAGAGGCTGGGGGTGGGGGTGGTGCAAGAAAATGTCCCCAGAACCATTGCCCAAATTACCGGCCTTAAACCACTCAGTACAATCTTGCAGGATTGCATGGCCACTTAAATAAATATGTGTCCCTAGCAGAAAATCAGAACCTGCTCATAACAACTCAAAAGTAGAAGAAAAGTACAGAATATTATCTGTCTTTTCCTCTGTGTTATTCAAGTGATCATTTTCTTATCTAGTTTACCGTGCAATTACTAAGTAATCCTTAATTCCTAAATAAGCAAGAACAGGAGTAACGATACCAATCCCAAAAGCCAACCAGATAAACTTTATTGTATAATCAACTGGATGATTCTCTGATTTATTTTAAATCCTACTTGTTAGATTAAAAATGTTTATAAAGATAAAATCAATTTAGCATTGTTGATCTTAACAATCATATGTTCACTTACTCTCATAGGATTCCATAGTCGACCCACCTGTTGTAACGCAGGCACTGTAAGCAAAACATAGCTTAGCACAAAAATTAATACAGTTAGGTGCCATTAAGAATATAACTCATCGGGTAAGAATAACTCTGATGGCGATGGGGGGTGGAATGATGTAGCACTCAACAAACTCTGAAGATGACCTATGGTAAGTATCAGGGAAGGCAAAACGAGGTGATGAACATTTTGTTTACATGGGATAAAAATACTTGAACAGAAAAAAAAAATAAATCTATTTTGTGAGTGATACAGCTCCAGCTGGCATTTTTATAGGATTCCAGATATTTTTTCTGTTACACATCTCTGTATGACTACCTAGTTAGCCTAGACAGTGGATCTTTCTTTTTCCTTTATTTTTTTTATTTTTCTTTTGTGTACCACAGATGGTTCCTGCACAGAGATGGCTGCATTTTGGTGTAAAATTAACTATCTAGTCAAGAATTGAGCATAATCATCATACGGGCAAATCAAAATGATGGCTACAATTGCTGCCTACAGAAATTTTTGCTGCAGTGCATATTAACACACCAAAAAAAAAAAAAAAAAAAAGTTGTGTTAGCAAATAGTGAATGTGCTGATTTTCATTACCCATGGAAATGTGTAACATCTTATGTTAAATTTCATTGACATTTTTCATCAAGTGTGTATAGCAATGCTCTGAAATGTGATAATTGTAGACTCTTGTTGTACAACTTTGAGTAAAATATTCGTTCCTCTAATTCCAGCAGTAATTAACTTGGATTGGAATTCCCCTGACTCATGTAGCAGTCTTCAACATTATATTAATGGCTCCTAGTGTTTATATAGTTTGAATAGAAATTCTGTCCCAGAAACGTAATATTTTATTAAGGCACTAAAGATTTTCTGGTTAAAGAAAAGTATTGATCGAATCACCCTAGCCTGAGCTGTAAAGGATTTTTCTGGCTTAGGTTTAAAATGAAACAGTATCTTGTTAAAACTTGAAATGCTTGAGAGATGAAGTTCTGGAAAATTGTTGCATCTCTCATGAAGACTAAAAATTAAAGTAGACAATTATCATAATAATAACCCAGTTGTACATGGCAGACAAAAGAGAAGCTAATACTTCTTTCTCTTTTTTGACTGATGTTTTGTTGGGCTGCAGCTAAACAGCACTTTAAGTTGACAGTAAATTAGCAAACAATATGAGGGAGGAAAAAAGAAAGAAAATCATGCAGGGGTTAAGATGTTTATGTAAAACAGTGATTTTCCTTTTTAAAATTAAAACGTACAAATAAGCTGGTGTCAGAGACTAGGTGATCCTTCATTTCCACTGCATTGAGCAGGCTCACATCAGCAGCAGACAGCCGTTAATATATGCGTCTGGCTCAGTCTGGTCTACCAACTAGGAATTCATCGAATTGTTAATATCATTCCTTTTTTGTATGCACCACACATCATTTTCACTCTCTCTCTCCCTCTCTCCCCCTCACGCTCTCTCCCCTTTGCAAGAGCTTGTGTTTTGGTTTTTTGTTTTTGTTGTAGCACAAGCTGATTACTCTGAAATCACATATTAAGTAGCATTTAGAAGCATTTTGTACTGGAAGAGCAAAAAGTCATATAGAAACGGGAGTATATTAAAATTCTGCACATATAGCCTACCAGTGATGTTTCCATTTATTTGCACTAATAGATACAGCTTTCATACACTGATTAAGTGTAAATAAGACAGCTTTTTGTGAGGTGTCTGCAGGCACTGTCACATAGTCGTGGGCTGGGGAAATGCTGTGGTAATCACGGTGGCAATTCTGCCCCATCAAAGGCTCAGTTTCTTCCTCCCTTCCATCCACCTCTGCCCCATCACAAGGATTTTAATGTACACTACAGGTTGGTTTTGCTGTGTTGAAACTGGGGAAAAAGAGGGAGGAGGTAAAAAGGAAGGCAGCGCACCATCTTCTTCATCTCTATGGCAAGGGGCAGCAGTGAGTACTGTGGGCAGAGAGGAGGCACCAGAGCTATCCCAGTTCAAGCAGTGATGCAGAGGCAGTACTGTGTATTCACAGCTTTTGCTGTAGCTCCAAATAAGACAGGTAGGAGTTTCTCATGGTTCATTTCATTTTCATTCTCACTGCAGAGAAAAAAGTACTTGAAATCTTCACACTGATAGAAATGGACATTTCATACTATAGTTTCACATGCCTTATACACAGAATATTAAACCAAAACGAATACCGAATATGAACTATGAACATTCACGTAAATTTTGCTGACTCAAAAATAAATGCAATCCACAGTCTTTCATACGGTACAGATGTGTGCACGGTATCTCTGATTAAATATATTAGGATTTTTATTTTGATAAATTACATGCATAATTTAAACTGTTTACCAACATGCATATACCTACCCACATTATAGTTTTATCTCATTATGTAGCTTGAATGATCAGAATGTATTCACCTGAGCAGTGCCTTAAATGCACCCTTTTCAGGACTGAAAACTATGAGTATTATACATAACACATGTCAGCTGCTACCAAACTGCTTCCTTGGCGCAGCACCTACCTGAGTGAATTAGTTTTTCACATACAAATTCACATCAACTTCTCTAATATCATCTGAATAGAAGTCAGTGGTGTTCAATAACACATCTGCGTAAAAAGAAATTACCTCCATGACTGAATGTTTACAAGTAGCTCTTTTGAGTGTTCTGAGTATGTGCGATTGGCAGTTTATGATGAAAAGAACTGCATCTTTACAGGAACTGTATCATCATTATAATTGGTAAGACAATATTTTTATGACTATTTAAGCACTAATTATACCTTGAGCAACTTGAAAGATATGTACAGCGCATAGTTTCTGTCTCTTAATAAAACAGGACAACAAGAAAAAGTATTACACTAACAGATAAGAACAATTTATTTTAACATAAGTATTGACGCTTACAGTAAAACACAATTCCTCCCACACAAGTGGAAAAAAAACACTGCAGCCAAAATACCACTTCTGAAATGAACAAATAGTTTGGATGCCTGATCTGTATGAAGCCTTTGTCTCAGTGAAGTCTGATGTATCAACAAGGTCCTGCAGCATCTTGGTTTAGGCACAGGAAACAGAGAAAAATGAATTAGAACTAACCCACCTACAAAATGTTAAGAAATACAAATCTAAGTATGCATGACAGATCAGAAGTTTAAGAGCAATGAACGGTGCAGAATAACTCATGCCCCTGTAAATCTTCCTATGCAAAGTCAGTGAAGTACTTAGCATATTGGGGACAACCTAAAACACAGTCTGCTGTTGGCAGTGGGAGAAAAAATGCAAAAGGCTTTGAGTTGAGGCTGAGTTCGATTCTCAGAGTACTGCCAGCTCCATGTAAATTTAAGAGGTACACAGAATGTGATTCTGTGAGTGAAGTGATATTAATGCTGTAGTATGATTTTTACACTAATGTTCTCCATCAGATTAAAATTTAAACTGAGACAATATTTTTAAATGTGATATTGTCCTCACTTAGACAAAGAAAAATAATGCCAACTAACTATAAAACTGGCTTTGTCCCCTATTACAGGAAAAGCTAAGCAACAGTTTTCCTGTAGACTGAAAGCATTGCTCAAAAATCAAAAGAATGAATGCTTTCTAGGCCTCAAACATCAGCATTTGTGCTTTATGTTTTAAAAGTTAATTAAGCGCTGTTGCAATGCAGCTGAAAATACACTTTGTGGTAATTATCTACCAGAAATGTGTGTAATGATAATGTTATGTTATGGTTGAAAACCTTTGGTATATTTTAGTACCTGGTGGGTTGGTGCTTTTTCTTTTTTTCCCTTTGTTTGTTTGTTTTTTATTTTTTTGTTGTTATTCTCTTGGTTCTTTTTTGAGATATGAACTGGCATTCAGTTTAAATTTTAATACTAAATGTTACATGGCATCTAGTCCAGTTTTCTAAACACAAAAAGCTAGCATGCCAAAGCTGCACGAAGGATAACAGCTTTTTTTCTTTTAGGAACAGGTCTGCTGCTTAACATTTGGTATGTTTTCCAATATATTAAGAAAGGTGTATTCTCCTTTTTCCCTTCCAGACAAAGAAAGCTCCTTTGGCTCTCTAAATTCTGCAGAGAAACAATCATAGTCCAAAGCTGCTGGTTCCCCTCCGCCTAGGTCCCAAGAGCCTGACTTGTGATTGTTGCTACAAAACCTCACAAGTTAGGGTCTCAGGGACTAGGAAAAGTCTGATATGATCCAGTAGAATTCGTCTTCCAATAATCTGAATTGCTTAGTAGTCATAATTGCTGTCAGTAAAACTTTCACTGCTATTGTTAAAAAAAAAAACAAAGCAAAAAACAAAACAACAACAACAAAAAAAAACCAAAACAAAAACCAAAAACAACACACAGCAACACCAAACCAAAACCAAAACAAAAAGCAACCACCCCCCCGCTCCCCCCACCCCAATCAGCAACCCCTCCTCCCACCCACACAAGGCACTTTCACGTAGGGGGCAGAAAAGATCAAATAAGCAGGCAAGACACATACATACATTCAAGACAATGTATCAGCTGACTGAACAGACTTTCCTTACAGTCCTTAACTTTTGAAAGCAAAAAGAAAGAGCACAGCAAAAATCTTCACTGCTTTGACTCACAAGTAGCCATATTACAATGCGTCGAAAGGAAGCATCTAAAAATGGGTTAAAACCTGCTTCTTCCAGCAGATTCATACAGTAACGATTTGATTCTATTTCCTTTAATGCCTTAAAGAAGGATTAAATGCATGTGAAGGGGTTTCTAATTGCAATATTTCGCCTTTATACTTTCAGTCCTCCTATTCAGGTGGGCCCTAGGTTACAGAGTACTTTAGAGCCCCTCTCGATGCAAGGATAACATCTGGGCGTGTATTCACTTTTTGCCTCTTCCCCACGTTCAACATTTAATCCTTCTACAGACTGTTAGCAAAAGCTTCTTCCTTTCAATGGCAAAGCAAGCTTTCGCTCCATAAACTGTAGAAAACACTGACATGCGGAGATTGTTGTCACTTGCACCAGATTACTCAAAGAACACACAACTTTCAAATACTGTCGATACTGTGAGAAGAAATAATCGGATTTCCCAAACAATTTCTTTCTGAAGCCGAACACTTTTAATGGCACGACCACGATCCCAAATTACTTTCGTATTCATTCTCCTCCGATCTTTAGCCTTGTTTGCAGAAGGAAAAAGAAAATTTCTACTTTAGGGACGGGATCCACGGTGGCTTTTTTTTTTTTTTTTTTTTCTTCCATCAGAGCCCAGAGCAAAAGAAACAGCAGCCATAAAGGTCCTAGCCACTGGAGCAGAATCTGGTATAGAAAACTCAGTGCTCTTCGGGAAGCCGTTCAGCTTTAAAAAGGAAAAAAGAGAAGAAGGGGGGGAAGAATTAGAATCTCTGCTGGTCGAACAGGTGAATCATCCATTTACAAGAAAGCTGCACAGAGAGCGCTGCTGAAGAAAAGATTTGCCAGTGCCCTCCACCCCCACCCTGCCCTTCACTCTCCCCTCCAGAAGGCTACCTCAGATTTCAGAACATTTTGGCTTATTTAAAATATTTCAGTAGATGACAGAATGCAATATTACATAAGAGCCGTTCCTTTGTCACTGTGCAGCGTTCAATCAGTTATGCCTCAGACACAAAATAGTTAAACGAAACAAGATATATATATATATATATATGAGAGATATATATGTATAGCAGTCCCTGCATTTCATTCCGTTTCTTTCTTTCTTGCAAGCTGATCATGATTTAACAAACAATTTTGACCGCAGCTTTCAAATCAATAATTAGAATGAAAAATCTCTCCCCTCTATAAATATGACATTAACATAATTATACCACCCCCATCGCATAGACCCATCCTCTTTAGGGAATTCATCTGATGCTCTGAAGATGGAAATCAGTCAGATTTTAGTTGCTCTCAAACGTACCTTTGCTTCTCACTGACTGACTGGCTTTACCTCCCGTGCACACACACACACGGTCACCAACACTCGCACACACACACATCCACATGCGCGCGCACATGCACACACACACACGCACGCACAAAAAGGCAAGGCAAAGCGGCGGATGCTGACTCAGAGCAGTTGTGTGTGGAGGGGGTGGTATCGGCTGGTATTTTCACTGCACTCATCATTAACATTAACTCACTGTCTAGCATCCACCCTCTCTCAGACCTGCTGGACTGCAGTATTTGCATGACGCTGTCACTCTAGCCCTTGTGGGTCAGATGTTAGAAGAAAAAAAAGCCTCAAGGCTCTCATAAGGAATGCCTTCATTTCTTCCAAAGGGTCCCTCTTCTTATTTTTCCACCTTTCTACTTCCTCTGTTGCTGTGTCTCAGTTGTTTGACATCTTTCCGGAAGAAAATGTCTTGAGCTGCAATAAGCCAGTAGTCGGTCGGTCCTCCCCTCACCTCACACTCCTATTCCCACCCCCTTTTTTTCCTAATCAATAAGACGGATCTCCAAATGCAGTTGTGAAAACAGGCTCTGACACACAGACTTTCATCCTCAATCCTCTGCCTCAGGAATAGCAGGCAATCCAGCTCACACGTGATGCAAGGAGAAATAATGCCAGTAATTCTTGAACAGACTTAGTTTATTCTACGCCTTCTTCATTTTTTCCTTTGCTTGAATAAATACTGGTGGGAAGGGCACAACAGCTCTCGGCAGCTAAAGGATTCTTTTCTTCGCAGAGCCATGATCATTAAAAAGACTAATATTAATCTTCCTTAAAATTAATGCTATCTCCCCTCCTCATTGTGCTCTTTATAAGTAGGAATTGTCTCATAGCCAAAACACTGCCAGGGTCTGAATCACCATTCACTGTGCTGAAATTGTACGTTCCCAGACTCCGGTTGGTATTTAACTGGACTAAGCAATTCTTTCTTCTTGTTTTTGTTTTTTTTTTTTTTTTTTATTATTTCAGACTTTTTAATTAAAAATAATAATAATAGTAATGAGAAAGAAGTAGAAGCTGCATGTGTCCGAGCGAGCACTGTGAGAGAACAATGGCACTGCATACACACGGTACGGTACAAAATACTGAAAATGCATGAGAAAATACTCGTGTATTTATCTGCATGTTATTTGCAGTCTTGGTAGAGCGGTCTGTGCATACTCGCGTGCATCAAACACATCCACAGACACAAACTCGAGAGGTATATATAAAGCATCCAACCCGAAACAAAGCACGGAGGCTGCAAACTGCGACACAGGTTGTATGACAGGCTGTGAGAATCCACAGAGCACACTTACTGCGTACATTTCCACCTTGTTCCTTTGTTCTTAAGACAAGGTACTACAATGACTTACGGCACTGACAATCTTTCTGCTTTTCCTGATTTATGCCACCGGTATTTGTAAATTATTTTCCAGACCCTACCACAGCCCTGTGACTCGCAGAACAGAGGCTATGCACCAGAGGGGGGCAGGTGATGGCTCCGCTCCAGCCAATTCCCTGCGCTGGCCCAGGCGGGCAGCACCAGACTGCTGGCAGCCCCCAGACCCGCCATGGTAGCCAGCACCAAGGGCACCCACCCACTGCTGGGGGTCTGCAGGAAGCAACGTGCCATCCCAGGGGAAGGCACCACACCGGGTGCCCGCCTTGAACCCGGCTCATACATGATTATGAGCAGTCATCGTAGTGGTAATTAATGTCTCCGAGAAAGGACAGAAGAAAGTAGACAATTAGGAAACAGTTAAGTTTGTGATCTGAGGGAAAGGCAAAGACAGAGACAAACACACACCCATAGGCAGACTCAGAGAGCGAGAGGAGAGCGCCAAGCATGAGACAAGAAAAGCGAGACTGAAATCAGATTTGGGAAACTAAAAAAATACAGGATTACAGCATTCAGCTTAGCATTTACTGAGGTATATAAAAAAAATTAACACATGCACAGCATGGCTTAAAATACTTATTGCCATCAAGAGTCTGTGACGGATGCTGGCTTCTTACTGCTATACGTACATTACATTGGTCATCGCCTCTTAATCTCCTTTTGCTCAGACCCATCCATTTTTTGCTGCTCCAGCATCTGTGCCCTTTCTGCTTTTTTTTTCTGTATAGTTACCCACAATACCCTGGATAAATTAATGTCATGACCCCGCTATGACTATCAGAAAGAAAAAAAAGTCTACTATTTTAATAATTGAACATGCGTGTACAGCACACTGCCTACTGATAGCCCAGCTCTGTGGACTGCCTCCAACAGCAGCCTTTGCTAGCTCTGCGAATCAGAAACAACAGATGCAAATACTAGACACATTGCCCTGGTTCTCTGTCTTGGTTTTTTTGTTTTGTTTTTTTTTTGTTTGTTTGTTTTTTGTTTTTTTTCTTTTGAAAAAAAATCCATCTCCTTTTCCTAGCCTCCGCCCCTTCAGTGGTTAAGAACATTACACTGCCGAAATTAGAAGTATTTGAATAAAAGCATAAAGATGAATGAAAATCATAAATGGCTGCAGATTCTGGAAATTTATATCCACACTGTGAGTAGGGAAGAGTACCCAGGTTCAAGTGCTGAGCCTCACTTGGGAGCACCTCTGGGACCGATGGGACTGCAGACTAGATTAAATCAATAGTCGTCTGAAACAAGATGTCGTAATCAATCAGCTCAATTACCACTGTCATAGAACTGGGCTTACGGTCTTTCCTGATTCTACTCTTCCAATCATTAACCCTTTTACATCCTCAAAATGAGAGCTCATACTCGCACTACTCGCTCTGCTGCCCTACCTTCCAGATTATCCAAGTTTAACTTAGCCTTTTTCTCTATTTTCTCTTTCCCTGTTTAAAAGACATAAGAACTGGTCAGCAGATAATGTTTCGAGTGCGAATATGGCAAGGTGAGATGCACTCCTTTAAATGCACCTATTATATATTTGCTGTGTGCGCGCTTATATATTATTATCATGCCTCCGGGAGTGGCTGGGTGGATCAAAGACTGCTGTTTAATTAACATTCAACTCAGCTGTTTCCTTGGAGATTACAAATAGAAGACTAGTTGAATTAATCTGAAGCCGTTCACTCTTTCCACTAATCCAATGCCACACGGCTCTTCTTCATGGCCCTCAACCTAGTTAGGAACAACTCGCTCCTTGTTAATCAACCACTAGGAAAATCCATTTCCAGCTGAGGGTAAGTGTGAAAATAGTTGTAAAGACATGTTCATATGCGTGGCTGAATTTCCAATGAGTAGAATTGCCCAGTCATTCACCTTGTGTATTCACAACACAGTAAATCCACACGCATCATATGGAGAAAAGAGCCATCAGCTTTGAATATGAGCAGTGCCACTTTAAAATCTTGAATGTAAATATTGCTGTCTGAAGATTGCATTTCACTGATTTAAGATCTTTTATTCCTGATTAAGTCCTGAAAAGATCAAAAAGCTGTTCATAAAAATGCTGTAGCAATTGTCACATATCCCTCTTTCTATTTTTAGGAGGGAAGAAGAAATCTAAGTGTTGCTAGATAGGTGATAAGTATGCAGAATTTTGGTCTCAGATTTATTCTGCTGATAGACTCAAATGCTAATAGTGAAAGAAAGCCCATTACATTTACAGTTCCACCTCTGTCTGTACTCACTGCCTCGGACTCCAAGCACAACAATACCTTTTTTAACCATGGAGCTGCCTTTCAGCTGGAGGGAGTGAATGCACAGCCTCAGCCCATGCGTTGCTGTGAGTGCCAGATAGCAGAACTTGCTCCTGTTCCACAGCAATGGTATTTTGGGGAGGGATTTTTGCTCCTGAAAGTTCTAGGAGTGAGTATGAGACACAGGCAGCACATAGGTGTTTCCCCACAGAGGCTGAGGCCATGGGATGTATCTGGGGAATGGTACCTGCCAGGGTAGGGCTGTGTGCCACCTGCACTGCACTGGGGCTGCCCCAGCTGAGCCAGAACGGTCTATTGCCAGAGACTGATCACTGTGTTTCACCATCCAGCTGTTGTCATTAGTGGGAATATAAAATATTGGTCTCCAAAATGATTCAGCTGTGAGCATCAACGCTCTTTCACAGGCTTATACCTCGGCCAGGAACTGCTTTGTTGGAGGAACTGACCCCTCGCAGATGGAAAAAAATGACCTCAGCTTCACATCGTTTCTGGGAAAGGTTTAGCTGACATGATGAGATACAAAAGAACCTTAATACTGTCCTTTAGTAATGCGAAATGAATTTGATGCACCAGACTTGCACATCGAGCTGCTAGCTGAAGGGTGCTACTCTGTTTTGCAGGCAGCGCTTCAGACTTTAAGCATCATCCACCAGGGGACAGCATTCACATCCATACTGTAAGGATGCGGCTTATGTACTTGAAGAAATGAACGAGAGCAGCAGAAAAAG